CCGCTGAATTGTATGTAATCTTCCGCTGAATTGTATGTAATCTTCCGCTGAATTGTATGTAATCTTCCGTTGAATTGTATGTAATCTTCCGCTGAATTGTATGTAATCTTCCGCTGAATTGTATGTAATCTTCCGCTGAATTGTATGTAATCTTCCGCTGAATTGTATGTAATCTTCCGTTGAATTGTATGTAATCTTCCGCTGAATTGTATGTAATCTTCCGTTGAATTGTATGTAATCTTCCGCTGAATTGTATGTAATCTTCCGCTGAATTGTATGTAATCTTCCGCTGAATTGTATGTAATCTTCCGCTGAATTGTATGTAATCTTCCGCTGAATTGTATGTAATCTTCCGCTGAATTGTATGTAATCTTCTGCTGAATTGTATGTAATCTTCCGCTGAATTGTATGTAATCTTCCGCTGAATTGTATGTAATCTTCCGCTGAATTGTATGTAATCTTCCGCTGAATTGTATGTAATCTTCTGCTGAATTGTATGTAATCTTCCGCTGAATTGTATGTAATCTTCCGCTGAATTGTATGTAATCTTCCGCTGAATTGTATGTAATCTTCCGCTGAATTGTATGTAATCTTCCGCTGAATTGTATGTAATCTTCCGCTGAATTGTATGTAATCTTCCGCTGAATTGTATGTAATCTTCTGCTGAATTGTATGTAATCTTCCGCTGAATTGTATGTAATCTTCCGCTGAATTGTATGTAATCTTCCGCTGAATTGTATGTAATCTTCCGCTGAATTGTATGTAATCTTCCGCTGAATTGTATGTAATCTTCCGCTGAATTGTATGTAATCTTCCGCTGAATTGTATGTAATCTTCCGCTGAATTGTATGTAATCTTCCGCTGAATTGTATGTAATCTTCCGCTGAATTGTATGTAATCTTCCGCTGAATTGTATGTAATCTTCCGCTGAATTGTATGTAATCTTCTGCTGAATTGTATGTAATCTTCCGCTGAATTGTATGTAATCTTCCGCTGAATTGTATGTAATCTTCCGCTGAATTGTATGTAATCTTCCGCTGAATTGTATGTAATCTTCCGCTGAATTGTATGTAAGCTTCCGCTGAATTGTATGTAAGCTTCCGCTGAATTGTATGTAAGCTTCCGCTGAATTGTATGTAAACTTCTGCAAAAAGATGTTATGCGTTTATAAGTGACCAAAGACAGTCAAGGTTAAAATGTACACAAATCGTGAAATATACAGATGGAAGAAATGTAGTAAGAATTAATAGGAATAAATGTAGAAATATACTAAAATAAATCAATATATACGAATAGTTAAGCAAAATAATATCAAACACTTGCTATAACTATATAATAATACATTTAAACGCTGATAGCGGACGTTATAGGGAGTATCTTGCTTACAATAATGAATAAATAAGCAGGCAAAATTCATTTTAACCTGCAATATTGTAGAAGAATCTGCATACATAACGAGAAGATGAATGTATAAGCTTGTGTTTATCCATAGAAATGTGTTTATCAAACGACACCGTCTTTGTTTAGAAAGTTGATATACAAGTGGGATTAATATTAAATCATTTACAAATGCATGTACAAATAGTTCTGGTTGCTTTTTCGTAGTTCGAAACAGTTTAGTAGAATATCAAGACATTCAAACCATAGATATCATATCTGGACGGTCGTCTGAAGTAGGTCTAAATCGCCTTACAATATTATACCGGCGATCTATCTTTCATCACAGCTCGTATACTAGATGTACACATCATGATGGAAGATGACAGAAATAGTCCTTGGTGAACTAGGCGCAAGGACTGCCACTCCTGTCGCAATGGCATCTCTGCTATTACCGTTCATTCTTTCATTCACCTCTTCGTGACCTGCATGGCTAATTCAACGCAGGTTGTTCGAGGGTTTCACGCTTTCCTTCCACTGCCAATGTATGGAAAATGGAATGCTCGCGTGAAACCACGTGCATTTTCACGCTATCCCATGACATCATTGATTATCTGTGTCGTCCCCTGAATTACCTGCCGCGTCTTATCTGTTTGCTCGCAAAGTGATTTATGATATCTCGTTTTACAGACAAACAGGTAAGACTATTCGATTCGCTTTCCTTTTTCCATTGAAGTCAAGCTTTATTCATACTTTATTTATATAGTACGCTATTTGCTTACCATAGGGTGCCAACCTATGCCAAGAGATTTTCGTGCTATATAAAAAGTTTGACCATTTTGACCCTACGACAGTTGACTATACATTTTTCTAAACGATGCAAGATAAATTTCCAATTTTCGCGGGTGTGATTCAGCGCGCGCAATTAATTAAAATGCGTCACATTAAGTAAATGCATGCGCACCTATTTTTAGCCAGCTGATGCAATTATATAAATAGTATACAAGTTTGTAAAATTAAAATTTAGCGTATTATTTTTCTTTCATTTGAAAACATATTTTATAACGACAGTTGTTTTCTATCGCTGTCAAAGCGCGCCTAATACACAGCTACACTAAAACACCTTAGTACTATCATGAACCAAATAAAAAAATGTCGATTTACAAATATTTGTTACATTAAACAAAATTGCATTCTGTAAATTTGCAAAATGGATAAACACAGTATTTCTTCAATCTCAAAAAGGAACATTAATCCAAGAATAACATTTTCAAAGTTGAGTATGAACGCGTTATTTCAGAAACATTTTGTCCTTGAAACAACTATAGAACTTCCAGGAAACAATCTTAAGTTTTTTTAAGTCTTACCCCTATACTGGCACTTCTTCCTGTGATTTGTTTGTGCAAACACATTTGATATCCTCCGGTGTCTACAGACCAACAACCAGCACTTCCAGTATCGCAGTTATAAGAGAAAATAAACATACTACTAAGAAAAATGGCGAAGACAATGAGTAAAAATTCGCACGCCTTCATCGTTCAGTCGCTTAATTAGCTTTGAAGTAATTGGTGACGTCATAATTAGGTGCACCAAATAGGCGAATCGGTTTAGACGGCGAACTATTCATGCGCCGAACCTAATACAACGAGTATAAGTACGACAGAAGGGCGACGTATAAACCAAATTGAATTAAAAGTCGGGAAATTCGACCACTGCACAAAATACGGCAAGGATTGTCGTATTGTACACAGACTCAATATGGGTTTAAGCCTGCATGGTTTCCGTATGGTCGTAACGGCAACGGTCGTAAAGATTGAGTGACGACCGCCAAAATACAACATTTTAGAACTGAAAATACGCGGAGTGATCATAACCAGAGAATACCTATATTATTTCTATGTGGTTTACATGTATAAACTATTATAAACTGTTATAAACTGGCAGTTAAGAAAGATCGTGACTCTATTTTTACGACCATTATGCGACCATATGGAAACCAGGTTTTAGACGCTTTAGAGAATGGCTTCAGGCTTTAGAGAAAAATACATGACACATAGGTGCTTGGAAATACCAGATTTATTTCTCGTGTTGAACCATGATCAACACTCGAAATAAATCTGGTATTTCCGCGCACCCATGTATTATTCTCTATTTATTTTTTCACATGATAAATACTAGATATCATATCTAGGTGAAGTACATTGATCCCAGCATGAGCTCAACCTTTGAATTTATGTACGAGTCAAATCCAACCGCGATCAGGCCCCCTCCCCCCGGGCAACCCCCGGAAAATTTGACTTTTGAAAAAATAATTGGTCAAATGCCCGCCCGAACAGGCAGAAACCACAGTCAAATGCCCTGCCATAGGGGTAGTCCTGTTTCTGGAATTTTGACTAAAATTAAATTGAACAAGTATTTCAAGATTAAAAAGAGCGAAAAATAGGCCAGACAGTTCTTCTTTTTGTTCAACTGGGCATATTGTATCATATATCTATGATTGATATTTGTGATTCAGAAGCAATTTTCAAACTATCGAAAAGACGCAAAATAGAAAACTCGTAAAGCGCTAGAATGTACACATATTTTTAGGGAAAACTGCTGAGCAAGTTGTTGTCAAGTGGTCAAATGCCCGGCCGGGCTGTCAAATTCCCGCCTATATGGGGGTAATGTTAAGTCAAATGCCCTGGGGTTGCCCGGGGGGGGGGCTGATCGCGGTTGGATTTGACTCGTACATTACTATATGAGTAAATTAAAATTATCAATACAATACATTAAATACGCGCAATACGTTTTTGGGATAGATGAACCAAATCCTAATCCTAACCCTCACATCATCTTAATCTAAACCTAATCTACTCTTAATTAATCTGACACTAATATATACTTGATGAGCTTTTTTTAAATAACGTACTGGATCAGAATTGATTGATCACCTCGCTTTAGCCTTTAAGTATAGTGATTTATTCGTATGTCGGAGGTGTTCTATCGAATCTGACAATTCGGTTTTTACTGGGTATCCAGTCCTTGTAATGTTCATCCTTTGGAGCATGACAACATGCGTGAAGGCCATGTTATTAATGTTGATAGTTCTATATTCAGGATGCCATGGGTACTTGACTTACGGGATTATGTGACTAATGGAACAGACTCTTCTGGAAAGAATGTTACTTTGGCTATAGAGCCTCGTTTTCGTGATTGAAACGCGTGGTTTTAACCAATGTCACATACACCAAAACGAGGCTCTATAGCCAGAATTACAGTACTCTTTGGCCGAAATTTTCTCTGAAAGTATATTCTGACATATACTGGATTATTCAGTAATGTGCGAATGCCATGCATGCAATTGATACTATTCTGAAATAATACACTCGACAAGTCATGTTTGAATGTCATGTTCAACATCGATCTAATTATTCCCCTCTCAAGCACTTGCTAAAATGCTCTTCTATTTTCTTTGCTGCAAAAAGCATAGCCTTCTACACCTAACCAAGATTCCATGGATAAACCGGGGAGGATAAAAAATGTTGTTTGATGCGTAGGATCGGGGTTGGTCAGTGGTAACCATTGTGGGAAATAGAAGCCAGTTGTCATGGCAATGGTGTAAAATCCGCCATATTTTTTGACTAACGGAAGATAAGAGCAAGGAGTACTCTCCCCAGTAACTGTATTGCTCACTGTGAACGCATGAGAAAAATTGGAGACATGATTCGTGATCAAGCACTGATTCTGTGTTTATTATTTATATATGTTACGTTTTAGGAACAGTTACTATTTTTAGACTTTAATTTGTAATTTTGTATTCTTTTGTATTTTAAACTTAATCTTAACCCTTACTCTAATCCTAACCCGAATCTTAATCCTAACCCTTTCCCTAATCCAAACACTAACCCTAAAAGTCTAAAAATAGTAACTCCCCTAAAACTATTATTTTCTATGGTGTGAATACCCGAGCGTAATAAATACCCTAGCCTTGGGCTGCAACTAAACTATCGAGCGCTTATTGAAGGAGCTACATAACACAACCACATTTACAAAGAACAAAAAATTAATTTGATTACTAATACAAATCCATGATTATACATACCAGCAGGCTGTATTTATTCATAAACTACAAACCACTAGTGGCTAATTGTTCATATATACTGAACTGATAAACTACTCACAGTGCAATATTTAGAGTACTAATTAATAAGCAAAGGTTAGATAATATTACTCCAGTGTTCTTGTGATAAGCTGTCCGCTTTTACATTCTAAATTAACTAAATCGTCCCTCGTGTATTGTTATAAAGTCTACATCGGAGATCGTTATGTGAAATTGTGGACAAGTCAATGTTATTTACCTCCTTTTGGTTTTTTAACGACGGCAATTTTCGATCGAACTGGAATATTAAACAATTTCTCATCCGTGCCAGGTGTTTGACCACGCAAATCAAAATCAACATGAACATGAGGCTGGAACACGAGGCAATGTGTGGAGCCACCAAAATGAAACATTCCAAGCTCGTCTCCCTTCTTAACATGATCTCCAGTTTTCACGGTAATCTCGTTGGTAGACACTTCGGACATACCGATTGAGACGAAAACCATGAGACCAATATCAGGGTTATCAGCTAGGATGTAGATAATACCTCGAGCAGCAACCTGGCAGAGGTACGCTTGGGATTCATTGGGTGAGGCGGCATCAGTTTGGATGTTGTAGGTTTGGGAATAATAAGAACCATCAACCACTTCTGTTTTCAAAATCAAACCGGAGACAGGACTATGCCATCGATGGTAACTGGTCGCGCTGAGGAAGGCTTGGTAGACGGTACCACCATAAAATTTCGCGGCCAAATCATGATTGTTGAGCATGTGATCTAAAAAATTTTGAGATTTATTTAATGTTGACACGGGTTCGGTGATTACCCAATCACCAAGCCAAGGGTTAATTTTTGATCAGGGAAGAAGTCAAAGAACCATCGAAGCACAAGAGAAACCAAAGTTTACTTAAATGGATTTTCAAGCACTGTGACAACCAAACAAGTAAATACCCTACTTCGACCTGCAATAGCAGACGAGGGTGCATTACTCTGAAATAAGAATACGGTGATTTTTGGGAAGGAACGGTCATTAATTACAGGGGAAGGGGGTGCCTGGTGGAAAGAGGGAGTCAGATATTTTGTGCAAGGGTAAAGGGGGGGGGGGGCAAAAATGTTTGTACAAGTAGTTCTTACCGCATCTGTGCAATTTGAAATATTAAAAATATATGAAAGTGGTTAGGCTACAAAAAAAATTTCGCACAAGGAAAAATGGTAGGCGCTTTAAGCTCTAATAATTTTGTATAGTACATATTATGATTTCTATTTATATACAGCTAATTCATTTGCAAACCCTAAACTGTACGTTAAATCTTAAACTCTAAGCGTACAAAACATAATGGGACCATCATTTAATCAGTTTAGAAAATTAGCTGTATATAAAATGTTTCTCAGCTAATCATGATTGGCCAGTGGATAGCACTGTTCTTCACATAGTCCAGAAGAATGTCTCATTGGCATGTTTGTATTTTGATGATGCAATTTGATTGCATTTCCGGAATTTGGGGATTCCTATGAGGTTTTGAAAGAGATTTTGGGATTCTTAGGAATTTTATGGGAATTTTTGGACAAATTTTGGCAAGAATTTTGTATTTTTTAGAAGATGTTTTTTGGATATTGCCATATTGGAGGAAGTGTACGAGGATTGTGGCAGTATAATACACCCCTCGATAGCAACGTAACTCGGCTGTATTGGCAGGGCACTGATTATATTTAATAGAGAGTTTAAGTTCGACTTCCAATACCAATACCGATACTAACATGTCACGCGCATGCTCTCTGCTCTCAAGAAGCACGAGGACAAGCTAAGTGTATTGGAAGTTACCACTACCGAAGTCGGCCTTGTATTGGAAGTCGGGGGAATTGTAAGATAAACTCATATAAATCGGATATTTCATAAGTTTTACGATAAACATGTAAACTATTTGTTTATTAGCATCACCTGAGTCATATTTTAGTCGGAATTTTAGCTCAGCTGCTGTTTAGTATACCGCACATTTTCGGTGACGATAGATGTGTTCTACACTTTATCTGTCGTGATAACTTAACGCTTTAAAATTCCCGGTACCAAAATGAGAACGGAAGTGAAAACATCGGTATCGGTATTGGTATTGGTATTGGAAGTCGAACTTGAACTCTCTATTATTTTCTAACCGTGCTCACCTAACGAGTATTGTTGATTCTTGATCCAGAACCAATCCCGTTTGCACACTTCACGCGCCAGCTTGAAAGGTGCAGACTCGCAGGCATTTGCAATAACATAATCATCATCAGGAGCTTCGACTGGACGAATTCCTGGACGATATTTTCTCACGAAGAAATCATCCCATGATTTGTAACCATAATGCGGTTTTTTTGGGTCGCATTCAAATTCTTTAACGAAATTTGGCATTGCCTCCATTGCATCTGTACCAAACCACCCTGAACGTGGATCATCAGTCAAAACATAAGTAGATTCTGGGCTAGACAAGTATTTCCCCCAGTAATTTAAAATGTCCTTGAATAACTTGTTCACCTAAAAATAATAATATTATTCCAATTGTGAATTCTTCAAAAGCACAGTTGTCTGGCATCGCCTTGTCGGGCTGGTACCCTCACTGCGTACTTGACAAAGGTCATCATCCTAAGACCTCCGATTTTCTAAAAGCAGCAGTTCTAAATGTAAAACGTGTAGTTGTCAATCCCGTACTTATCCAGAGTATACCTGGGTGCTGAGCAGGGGTGGCGGCTACGCGTTTTTGAAGGGGGGCTGTAAATGAATTTT